TTTTCAGGAGATAATGGTACAAGACCTGAGCACCATATTTGGACTTATGAGTTAGAGTGTGGGCAATTAGCAAATAATGAATTTTATAAGTTGCGGTTGTTTCCACAATCATTGACCGGTACGACGTTAGAATGGTATCGGCCATTGAGACCTGGGTCAGTAGCTAATTGGGACGTTCAAAAGGAGTTGTTCTTATAGAATATGTAAGCAAACCTGAACGCACTATTGTAGATCTGCATGATGTTAAGAAAAAGCCTGCCGAAACCGGGGAGCAATATTTATTAAGGTTTAGGCAGATGAGAGCCACGATACCAAGAGAGTACCCAGAACAAACCATCATTACTATGGCCATAGCTGGGTTCACCAATTTCCGATTGAAGTTTGGATTGATAGGTAGAACTTTCCCGAATTTGGGTGAGTTGGCTGAAGCGATTTGTCAGTTAGACAAAGTCATTGCAGAAGAAGCTGAGAGCCGCAAAGGTCGCGGTAGACAGTGGTTTAATCCTCATGACCAGCCATCAGTAAAACAGGCTCAGTACTTTGGTTTAGATGAGGAGGATGGGTTTGAAGATATCAATGCGGCTGAGATAGTGAACATGAAAGGGTATAAATGTAGCGCCTTGAGGAAACCTAGCACCCCACAAGCATATGGTATACCATCAAGACCAGGAACAGTTGCCGGTGCGAAGCCATGTGTTGATCCTAATTATCCGGATTGGACGTATTCATTTGATATTACCCAGCAAGAGGATATTTTTGAAGACATGTTGAAGACTGTTCATGTAACTTATCGGAAGGAGCAAAAACAACCGAAACCCGCCGATATTGAAGGGAAAACTTATTGCAAATACCACATGTTTATGACCCACGGGACCAACGATTGTGTGGTTTTCTGGAACGTCATACAAAAGATGATTGATAGTACGGATATTCAGGTGAAAGAACCAGCGGCAGAAATTGTGATAGTGTAAAGTTTGTTACACTGTTGAATACGTGGTTGAGTTGGCCATCATCCAATTAATGCAAATTAGAAATTAATTTTATTTTTTTTAAAATGAGTAAAAAAAGAATCAATGGATAGCTTAAGCGTGGATCAATGATCATTTAAAAGAATAATAATCATATTACAATGTTATAGTATAAAACCAATGTAGGAAAAAATATAATAAAAATATAATGTGGCAAAATGCTAACGTGTAATCTTGTTAGACCCACAATGGTGACCATTGTGGATGCTCTTACTTATCTAATCATTCTTATTAAAAAGGTTATGACTTATGATGCGCTCATGTAGCACTTAATTGTGATCTCAAAAATTCAGCTTTGATCAATATCCTCGTCACAGAAATGAGGTCGAAATGAAAATCAACTTGATACTGGATGCCAATGAGGGGTTGGGCCAAGTGGTAAGGGCTCTGGCACTCATCCATGGTGACGCGGGTTCGAACTCCCACGGTAGCGATTTATCGGTAGCCATGTGCTTTCTGAAAGTTTAATGCCATTTCAGATAAATGCCGATGTTTACGCTCCGATACTCCATTTTGCTGAGGAGTATGAGGGCAAGAAGTTTGATGATGAATGCCATGTGTAGAAAGAAATTGAAGAAAACAAGAGTTGATGAATTCTCCACCCCCATCGGAACGAAAAAATTTAATTTTTGCAGAGAATTGATTTTCTACATGTGCTTTAAATTTTGTGAAACAATCAAAAACTTCATGCTTGAACCGTAAGGGATAAAACCAAACAAATCGTGAAAAAGCATCAATGAAGATGACATAATGCCGATAACCACTAACCGAAGAAACTGGAGAAGTCCATACATCAGAGTGAATTAATTCAAAATAAGTAGATGAAACTTAAGTACTGGAAGGAAATGGAAAACTAGGATGTTTTGAAACTAAGCAAGAACCAAGCACCTTGAACTTGATTTACACTTTGTTCCTGAAAAAAGTGGCTACTGGTTTTATTCAAGTTCGATATATTCCAACAAATCTACAACTCGCGGATGTTTTTACAAAAGGATTATCAGCTCATTGTTTCAAGTATCTTCGGGACAATCTTCACGTGGCAGCTTTACCACGTTCTGATTGAGGGGGCATGTTAGATGTATATCCTTTGTAATTATCTTATTAGCTATTGAGCAGATTAGTTGATGTTGTTGATATGATCTTATGAAGTGGACAAACAAGTAGACTGGACAGGCACGCGTGGAGTCTACCCCATAGTAGTACTATCCCCTTCCCAATATACACCACCATGTAATAGTTTAGACACTTGTAAGTTGGTTCTTATAAAAAAAATAAAATAGATACTGGATTTCAAGGTGTTAATCATAGAAGTGTCATCAATAATTAAACTTTTGTATTATAACTTTCAAACCTTCAGTTACAACAAACTCTTAGCAAAGCATTGAAACAAGATATCCATATTGCAAAGTTTCGTCGCTAAAGTCCAACAAACTCTTCGCTAAATAGGTTCATATATTTCTGCAAAAAAAATCATCAGAATGAAGAACAAGAAATACATAAAAGATTCCTTTGCAGTAATGGTTGAAAGTAGCAGTGCTGAATGGCATCATCAGGGTTTGATGCTCTTTTATAACAATCATTAGTGAGACAGAATTCGGAGCAACATGTGACATGGCTCCGAACCACAATGCAAAGGTCACGAGCAGTAGGACACCCTAATGCCACCGATGCCATTAAAGAAGATAACGAGACAGTGAGACCACATTTGACAAGACGATCAAGTTTTTGCCATTGAAGAAATTCTTTTGAAATAGTAGAATCAGATGAAGAGTGTTTTGGTGGTAAAATTAAACCATCGATATAACCATTGAAATCAATGGTAATTAAAATTCCTTCAACTTGATCTCTTCAAATTAGATAGTTGGAGATATCAAGAGATACAATGATAAAATTTGTGATATTGGAAAGAGGAAATGATTGAGTAGTAGTGAGTGATTGTGAAATATTCATTTTAAAACAATTGTGATTAGAGTAAAAAGAAAAGAAAGAAAGAAAAAAAAAGTGTAATAGTATGTGAAATAGTGTGCAATAGTGAAAAAAGATGAAATTAGTGCATGATCAATTTCGCTCTGGATGCCATGATGAGAAATGGATTTATGAAAGAAGATGAACTCATGAATTGTATTGTGTGTTGCAATACATTACATTGCCTCTATTTATAGGCATATATCAACAATAGTTAAGATCTAGTAGATATTATAAAATTTGAAATAATTTAAACAAATAGAATCTATAATCCTAATTAATGAGATTTTTGATTAATCTATATCAAATTCAATGTTTAAATCTCAAGCTTTCTGACAAAAAATGATTTGAAAACATGTGGATTTCTCGAAGCTAAGCTAGAGAAGTATACTCTAAACAACTTTTGATAATAATGCGAAGATAAATGATTCAGATAAATAAACTTCCCTACTTCTTATTCCTAATTAGGTTAATTCTGCATAGGCAAATTGAAAGGCGACTGAGGTTTTACTTGAAAGGCTAGCAATATATCCAGCGCAATTTTTAATTGCCAGAGTAAATTGTTAATGTTTTCTAAACTACCCCAAGTACATCAGAGGTTGTTTCCCGTTTCTTTCCTGCAAACTACTATTCACTTATTTCCATCGTTTTGGTCACTGATTTATTGTTACGTACTTTTTGTTTTCTTTTCTGGTTTATTCGGTGAGAAGCAAAAGTTACGTTTGACAGAATCGGGATAATTTAAGTAAAACAATAATTAACCCTGGCCGTTAAAAATTATATTGGCAACGTTATTGACCAATTTGAAATCATTTTTTAAGGGCATATTACATTTTTCTCCTCGAATTTGGGTCTTTCTACTATTTCTTCTCCTGAGTTTTGATAATTCTACCAAATTCCCTTCTGATAGGTTGAAACACGGGTCACTGGAAAACACGTGAAATGACCTTAAAATACTAATTTCTTAAACCATTTAGGCTTGCATGATAAAATATTATATTAAAAAGACTAAATTCAAAATTAGGAATTTAGTTATTTTTTTTTAAAAAAATAATTTTTGCACGTTTTTAAAAATATATTTTTTAATTTTAATTTTAGAGTTATTTTATTAATTTATAATATTTTAATGTTAGCATTACTACTTTATTTTGTACGGCAAAACTTTCATGAAAATTTCATTTCGATCAATTTAATAATCTATACTAAATAGTATTTTTTCGGTATTTACTTAGAAAAAGTAAAAAAATGAAGAAATTCAAGATGGTTTTTTTTTTTTTGTTTGTTTTTGAGGAATCTAATATATGAATCTAGTTCCCTACAATTTTATAAGTTAAAAAAATATAGAAAAATGTTAGAGATTACCATAGAAGTAATTTTTTTAGTTTATCCTAAACTTACCAAATTAAAAATAACATAAAATTCGTACAAAAAAGTACAATTGTGTTTATTGTTTTTCATGCTAATTTAAAAAAATTTAAAATTCTGAATTTTTTATAAATTTAATATTATTTTAAATTTTTGAAAATTTTTATTCACATAATTATTTTAATTTTTATATTCACATTTTATTCACAGATCAGAAAATTTTTTTTGCTGAAAATACCACTGTTGACTTAATTCTAAGTTTGGTCAAAGAGCGTGTCAAATGACCAAAAAAAAAAAAAAGGAAAGTTACATATTGCTATTGTGAATATAGAGTACTAAAATGAGCATCTAACCTACGTGGAGACCATTTTTGGCCTAATGATAAAATTGACAAATAAATGTCAGGCTTAGTACTCCCAATATGAAGTCTCCACGTAGGAAAAAGGACATTAAACATAAAAATTTAACCGCGAGCATAATTTAGAAGTCAACATTGTACAGTCTTTCTGACCTACTAAACATATACAGGGGGATAACATATAATGAGACGTTGTTTAGAAGACACTGTTATCTCTAGATTTAGTCAGCTGACACACACACCAGTAAATAAACGAAAAAAAAAACCTTCAACTGATCGCCCTTCTACTTCTTCATAATTGACCCACCAGCAAGGACACCCTCCTTTGCATTGTCTCCCTTTGCCATCTTCAACGCAACCTACATCGCAAAATTCCATCATTAAATATTAAGGTAAAGACTGTCCACCCTGGGCTGGACATCGAAAGCGAATCTACGTTAAAGGCCAAAAAGTCTCACCTCCATCAGGCGTTTGAAAGTGTTTGCCACCATTTGAATACCTTCCTCTTTATATTTGGCGAGAAGAGCAACGGTATGTACTTCTCCTACATGAAATAGGAAAATAAGATCATAATTCTAATCCAAGAAGAGAAAAGAAATGTAATCCAATGATGTTAAAGAATTTCATCAGATACTGAAATAGTTAAAACTGAAGTTACAAAACAAATCCGTTATGCTGAATCTAGGAAAACTTAAAAAAAAAAAACCAACCTCAAATTTACCAAAACATATATAACAAAGGTATGTTAACTGTTACAGGATTGTGTTATGCAAATGTAACTGCATACTAAACTTGATCCTCAGAAATAGAGAATACTAAATCTCAGACATACCTTCAGTCTCAAGAATCCGAAGTCTCCTCTTTAACTCTTCATAATATTCCTGCTTATACAAATCTGTCTTGTCGGCCTTTGCTATGTTAACTTCCTCTGTCAAAAGAACACAAATTATAACAATTTTGTTTTAAAGAATCAACTATAACTCTAAAATTCAAAGTGATTTGTCCATGGAAAATGCCACCCACCTATTTCGAAAGTGGGACAATGCAGGCCCCAGTTCTTAACGGCTTCATTTAAATCAATCTGCAGAAAAAGTTCAATACCAACAGTCAAATAAGTAGAGACGATTTCTTAGTTGAATAACATTTTTACTTATAATTTATCCAAATCCAAGGCTCGTCAAATACAAGAACAAAAAATAACTATAAAACATGAAGATGCTTAATCCAATGATGTATAAATGAAAGCGCTTTCAAGCAGCCAGATTGAACAATCGCATTCTAGATATGATCAACGGAGATCCTTTGAATCTCGCATCAGCCATTTGCAAAATCTGAGCAATTCGAACAAAATCTATAGCAAAGAACTTAAAGCCTTCAAAATCATCACTTTGGTTGCTCTGTGTTAGAAACCTAGGGCCGGTTAATAGCATCACTTGTTCAGTAACACCACTTAATAAGATGCATTGTATTTGATGTCTACGATAACAAACAAGGAAAACACTTAATCAAGGATGATTTAACTGTAAGACATATATTAAGCGATTAATTGAGCATAGTATTTGCTTTACATTGCTTCATGAATTCAAGATTCATAGTTCAGCATTTTGCATTGAAATTTGAGCATTAACTTTTATCAATATCATGGTAAGGGATAAAGGGTTAAAGATCAACATTATGCCCACAGTAGGTAAATAGATAGATTTTCTTACCACAATATTCTTGCTGATAGTGTGTTTCCCGCGGAAAAGTTGGCGCAAGGTGATCTTTCCAAGCTCATCATGCACCATAGCTCTCACAAGTTGAATCAAGGAGGGAATTGCTCCCTCAACTGCATATGATGCCAGCTTGGGGTCAACGACCTACAAAATAAACAAGCCCATTTAGAAAAACAAAGCAAAGAAATTGCTAAATCATTCAATAGCAAGATAAGAATGGCAGACTCGGGCACTGTTGCCATTTGAACCACAGTCGGACACTCCTACAGAGAACATACAAAAGACAAACGTTTAGTGGCTCCATCTATTTTGTTGCTTAACACTCAACAAGCTGTAACCCAGTCAAGTAGCACACAAGGCTTTGAATTTCCTATATCCAGGATTACACCTCACTAGTCTGACTTTACCATGGCCAGACCAACCACCCTCCCCAAAACACACAGCAATCTAGGCGTAAACAAGACTCAAATATAAAACCTAATTAGTGCAATACTACTTTCTGCTGACCCTGCACCCTTGTTCAGTTGTTTGTTCATTAATAGCCGTAAGTAAAGCACAAAAATCACATTTTTAAAAAAAAAAGGGGGAGAAGAATTATACCTTCACGTAAAGACGGCAGTCCACATAAACGTCAGTGTTGTCCTTGGTAACTGCTTGCTTGCTGCGGAACGGGATGGCCTCTAGTTTCAAAGAATGAACGTGCGCAACCCGATCGATGAATGGAATAGATACATGGACACCACGAGTTAACGTCTTCACATATTTCCCAAATCTCTCAACGATGTAGGCTTGTCGGTGCGGCACAACATGAATTCCCCAATTTCTGGGAAGCGTAGCATCAAATTTCTTCTCAAAACCGTCACCGCTGTTTCGGAAAAGCAAAACAAACAGAACAATTAGAGGCTGATTACTTCTATTGCATGCTTTTTCTTCTTTTTTTTTTTTTTTTTTTTTCTAATTGAATGAATTGTGGGGGGAAAGAAAGAGAACAAAACAGGCTTAAATACGCAGGGTTCCAATTCACCAGTAGTCATAACCAGTCCCAATGTGACGGGCGAAGAAGGCAGGACGAAGTGGTGGACGAGGGGACGAATGATTGGAGGGAAGGAGGGGTGGTGGCCGAGAAAGGAGGAAGAAGCGGTGGAGATCGCAGAGTAGTAGTGCTGGTGGTGGAGATTTCGGAGCTGCCAGAGTTGCTTGGGCAACCGGGAGCCAGATCTCACAGTATGCATCATCCTTCTCGACGGGACGGTGGAAGAGCCGGAAAAAGAGTAAAATCAGCTCCGGTTGGTGATGGCCAAATAGAAACCCTTGGTTTGCGCCTTTCTAATTAATTCTATTCTACTCAGAGATCTTTGTTTTTTTAAGGAAAACTCATTTTATATCCTCTCTTTTTATCCTTAATATCCTAAGCAAATACGGAACGTTCGTTTAGATATGCGTTTGGTTCTAATATTGTTTGTGATTTGTGAATACGATTTGGATTACGAATAGTTATGGAAATAATTTTTGTGAGAAAAAAAGGCGTAAGTGAGAAACGGTACTAAAATTGGTGGATTCAGAGTGTGCCCCCGGGAAGTGCCTATATTGTAGAGCGATTCGGAAAGTACACAAAGACCTTGACTGCTGGGAGATTCCATCTGTTGATTCCCTTCATTGATCGGATTGCCCACGTTCAATCCTTGCATGCAGTGGATCTTCCCATTCCCCGCCAGACAGTCATTACCAGACAAAGTCGCTTTTGAACTGGAAGGAGATCTTGTCGTGAAGGTATGAATTTTTGTAATTCTCTATTGTGTGGCTTTTATTGTTTAATTAAAATGGGAAACCCAGAGTGTGAAACTTCTTTCCGCATTAATTATCATATAACAATATAATGAAATTTTTTATATGTATATAAGAAGAACATTGTAACTTACTTTATGGAAACAACAACAACATCTGGTTTCCCTAATTCAACAAGGACGGTTTCTTTTAAGTTCATTTTGAGGAGAAGTGGTTAATATGATTTAATTACTTAATTTTTGGACTAAGGCTAAGGGTAGTGCCATGCTAGTAAGTTCGAAAATCTTTTATATTTGCATGGTAGACTGGACACTGGCCCTTAGGGGTTTGGACTGGCGCCTTACGTTGCTGTGCTGCCCTTCGGAACTAAGTTCTTTGTTGTTTCCTTAAAGGGACTACCGCTTGAATGGCAGCGCGTAAGGTTGCTCTGTTAGATGTTTTAGGAATTCTCTTGCTATATCCGACTGATAATTTTTAGATTTTTTTGCAGGTTGTTGACCCTATGTTGGTATCTTACAAGGTTGAGGCTCCTATATATGCTGTGATTGGACTTGCAAGTATGATGATGCATGATGAGCTACAAATGATCACCTTCAACAAATTCTTTGAGGAGAGAGATACACTCAGTGAGAAGATATTGGTAAGCAAATACCGCCACCTGTGTGTATTGATTTTCAACCCTTATATCTATTACTTCTGAAGAGTTGAAAGGGATGGGGTGCTGAAGTCTTTAGACATTGAGAGTTGTCTAAATTGAAGTTGGAGTTTTAAGTTACTCGTCAAAGATTTTGTTGCAATTGTTGATCGTGATCCAACGTATTTCATTACTATATATATATACCTTGAAGTGTGTGTTCAATTCTCGCCTGTGGCTTTGCTGGAGGTTGGATCTTTTGATATTGCCTTTAATTTGAGTTGTTCATGTTTTAGACTTACTTCTTATTTTGGTATTTTATGACCTTTTGATATAATTTCATAAAGTTGAGGCTATGGTATTGAACAACGATCATTCTTAATTTGACGTTAATTTAGTGTTGATTACGTTGTACGTTTTTTCCGCAGATTGCTATAAATGAAATAGCTCAGAATTGGGGCCTGCACTGTCTTACTTTTAAAATGAGTAAGCAAAGCTTTATTTTACGGATTTGCTTTGAAATTTAGAGTTATAATTCAAATCTTAAATGATTTTTGTTGTTTTCTTTTTGTGTTTTTGCCAGGGGAGATTCACATGAGTGATAAGCTGAGCTCAACTATGCTTTTGCAGAAACATGATGCAGAAGAGAAGAGCAGGGGCCCGAATTTCAGAGTCTGAAGGTAAGTTTTACCCTTTCTCAATATTGCTCAGGGTAAGTTTAGCATGTGATTACATTTGACACTACAATCCACAACAATAACACATTTTCTGGGGTTGGTTTTATTTTAGTATTTCTTGCTTAGTTTTCAAGTCATTAAAGAAACAGCAAGTAGTAATCAATATTACCAAGAGACAAACAGCATAATTCGTTCTTGCTTCAGAGTTGCAAAGACAAGATTAATTAAGGTTGAGCTAGTGATATTAGCAATTGCTTTGATATGATATTTTGTTTGGCACTTATACATAAATTCAGTATCTAATGGAACTGTTTAATAACATCATTGTCAGAGATTTTGTTGGCACTTCTGGATTATTTCAATATGTAATGAAATTGTTTAATAACATCATTGGATTACAGTTCTTGTTCTTATTGAAGAAGTAGTTTTTCACCAAAATTTTGTCTATATATTTTCCGATTCATGCAGTTGAAGAAGAAGCCATCGCTATTGTTGATCAAGCGAAAGCAAGGGGGACTCAGATGTTAGCACACTCCTTTAAACACTTAATGGAGGTCTGGTCTTTTCCTTTTTAGCATGAATATTGATTTTGTGTTTTTTTTTTTTATTGTGTTAATGTCAAGGACTCATAAGTCTTTATGAACTTCTAAAGATAACGGAGTATCATGTGAAGGTTTGTGATGCTAAAATTGTTTTATCCTAACCTAAAAGGTATAGTAATTCATTTTCAATAGGAGATAAGATTACAAATACCTCAATTACATTTTAAGATATCATTTGGTGATTGCATTTGTAGTGTAGCAAATTTGGCCTCTCATAGGCCATGGATGATGTGGCAAGTCTATTTAATTTTATGATGGATGATTTTACAATGCAGGCTGCATTGCAACTGGCCGAACAAGATGATGCATCATCTTCTAATACTTCAAAGGAGGTATTCTTTGTAGCAAAAGCAGTTTCTTTCATGAATTTTCTTTCCCTCTATGCCCTCATAACTTGTTCTTTAATTTCTGACTTCTATTATACGAGAACATGTCCTTTGCTCAGAGGGATTTTTCATTGCAGATTGACTGCGTCGATTTGTGAGAAGAAATAGGGCAATCATTTTGAGTAAGCATTTTTGCCGAATGAAGAACTTCCTGTGTGGAGTGCAGGGTGTTCCACTGACTAAATTTAAAAATAGCACTCTTATGGCTAAACTTAATCTGGGGATAACATTCTAACTGTTAGACATACTTCCTTTACAGTATAGTGATGATTTGAACCTCATTTTTTAGTTTAGAGGTGAACTATCACTATCACAGACTTGTTGCAGTTAGTTGTACTAGTAAGTTGCTGAGCCAAAGTGTAGTTGGAAACTGTTCCTAAATCACTAAATGTGATCTCCCTATCAATGACACCCTTCATGGTACATATATATTTTGTTCTCCTCAGCTGTATTTTCCTCGAAATAATATCTGAGCGAATGATGTCCGTACTGCTGCGAGAAGTTTACTTTGAAGCCCCATTTTGAAAAACCAACCAGAAAAAGAGAGTAATTCGAAAACATAGCACTACGTCTCAGCATTAGGAAGTTTCATATTTTAGAAGCTCAGTTGTAATGCAATTTGTATCAAAGGAGTCATTGTTTTAAATAGAAGAGATTCTTACTAAGCAACATCTAGGATGAATGGTGTAAAGATCTAGGATCATTTACCTAAGCAATATATAAACCATCTTATTCCTGGGTGATTGAAACATGTACTGGGCATTAAATCGTCTTTTGTTCATTCCGTAACAATCCTAGTCATGTGCTTACAACTCATATAAACAATTAATCATTGTTTACCAAACACAAAAAAAAAAAAATTTAAAAATTGTTAGTACTCTTGATGGGCCTTCGGTACTTACAACCCATATAAACAATTAATCATTCCTACAAAAAAAAAAAAAAGAATTAATCAATATTAGTGCGCGTGAATTGGCTTTCAGATTTCAAAGAGCCACGCAACTTCCGTCAAAAACAATTCACCTTCTAATTTGTAAATCATTATATATATTAAAGGGAAGAAAGATAATCGACACGTGTCGTTAATTGAGACCGTCAAGCCTCATTTTCAACTTATTGTTATTTTAGTCCTTAAAGTTTTATTTATGTGCTATTTAGTTTTTAAGTTTATCGATTTTATATTTTCAAGGACGATTAATTGTGTCTAGTCCCCAAAGTCTCCTTGCCCATAAATAAGCCATAGACATCTAGCATAATTTGCGTATTTTTTAAATATATTTTTTTATGCAAACATAATATTAGTTAGTGGTGACAATTTTTATTATATAACTTTTCAAATTTTTTGTTGTAATATTTTTGGCCAAATCTTACAAATATACATCTCATAAATAATATCAATACCTCTCATGTTGATCTAAAATTGATTAATCAAAAAAATATTACGGTTTTAAGAAATATAAGTAATTACATTATATAATTAATTTTTTTGAAAGATAAATTTTTAACATTAACAAATGCACAAAGCACGGGACACATACTAGTTGTAGTAAAGGGAATGTAGACAATTTTCAAATTAAAATGTGAGGTTTTCTTTTTTCGCCTTTTCATTTTTTTTCCGTCTTTGTGATGGAGGAAGCAAATGAATGGTGGACATAGGCGGTATGGTAACGGTCCATCTTAGAGGAGCTCAATGATAAGTAAAGGGGCGGCCCATTACAAACAGTTAACTCACAAATCACATCGTTTATGCGGCATTGTTCTCGCCTCGGGAGGAGGAAGAAGAAGGATTTTGGCTTTCTGGGAAGGACGCCGAGGGCAAAGAGTCCGATTTTTTCTTGTTCCAATTAGCAGGATCAATATGAACTCAAACGTCAGCCTTTCTGGACTCCGGTAGCAATGACGGCCAAATCATTGGGATGACTGATGTCGATAGATAGTAAGCCACATTTAATTCTCTCTCTCTTTTTCTGATTTTCAAAAAATCCTCAATTTTTTTTAAAGAAAAAACTTGTGTGGGTAATTGATTAGCGGTAGCAGTATTTTGTGATATGCTGCATTTGGAAGTACAATTGGGATAGTTTTATGGGTGGGTATCGCAATGCTTTTAAATTCGCTGTGTGCAGCTATTTTGGAGTTGGATGAACGATTTCGCAGAATGGGAGGGGTTGATGTAATAACAGAATGTTACATACACGTTTCAGCTTTCAGCTGAATGCTACTTTCTTTTTAATATGTTTCTGTGGCTATGTTCTGTTCAGTTTGGACAGTTACTGTGCTATTCTGGATCACTGACTTTACTTCAGGAAATAATGGTTTTAGAAATAAATCTAGTATGAGCATTCAAAGGATATTAAGGCATCCTTGTAGTGACTCTTCCAGCGATGACAATTCCTGCAGTTTAGGGTGGAAACATTATTTATTGCATTTTCGTTTATTTTGTTTATTTACACCCATCATAGGTTGCAGCTTTGACCTTCTTGCGAATCAATGCCCGAATGTTTATCTTGATAAGCTGTTTGTTTCCGTGATTGCTTTTGGCTATTTCATCGTGTGTTATTATAATATAATCCTTGGAACCTTCTTATTGACTCAATAATTGTGGTTTGCTTGCATTGTAGTGTACTGAAGATTTTATTTCTTTATTAAACTTTATGGCGTGCTTCTCAGATAGAATCGTCACCGTTTGATTTCTTTTTAGCTATATGGTTGTTCTTCTGGTTGCCGTGCATGTTTGTTCCCTTGCTGTTTCCATTATAACTCACGATTTGCATCTTTGGACCTAAAAGTAACAGCCAACTCTTAAAGAAACCGTTGAAGAGCAAGATTTCCTTCTCGGCTTGTATACATATTTGTTCGGTTTATGGATGTTATTCAATAGATTGAACCTGGTAACATATCATATCAATACGTGTTTGTACAGTCCTGTATGTCCAACACGTGTTTCAGTGTCAAGGTTTACCTGATTGAGATACTACTTGGGTTTAATGCCTAACGATATTGTGTTTGGTACTTTGTCAGTTCTCCATTATGCGCATCGGATAAGATTGGAACCAAGTGTGAGCCAGATATCCAGGCAATTACAAGGACTCAGGTGAGTTTGATGTTCACATTTTGTGTGGAATTGCTTCCATGTCAAATTTATCCATTGATCTTGTGACGAGTTTAACATAAGAATTCTCTGGATTTCACTTTCTTAATTGTCTAGAGTGGAAAACTTGATTGTCATTTGCTTCTTCTGGTTTTATTGGAATCAGGAAGCCCGTTCTTTGTAAATGGTCTTTGCTTGTTATCTTTCCATCAAAACTAGTAATAACTAATTGCTTTGGAAGAAAATTAATTTGAAAGTAAGCATGGTTGGCTAAGTAAACTCGTCAGCTCTACTTGGTAATACAGTTTTGTAGTGTCAAAGAAAACAAAACAAATTGGCACCACGGTTTCAATGTTCAAACTATCACATTGAATTGTTAGATTCCTCAATCATATCTTGCTTTCTTCATTTGCAAACTTAACACTATACCTTTTGTTAATACAGCAGCTTTCTGATCTCTGCTTGTCATCAAGATCATCAAATTCTCTCCCTACCATTGATCAGTTGATGTTAATATGTGAAGATCTTGCGAAATCAACAACAGCACTCACTGAATCACTCGCAAAATAGCTTTGGTGTCAGAAAACCCCATAAAAAATGTTGATGTGGAGCCCGCCAAATCCAGTAACCTTTGGGTACAAACTGCTCTGGCAACTGATCTTGAAGTAGTCTCCCTTCTAAACTTATCAGAACGTGAACAGCCATCTTCAGAATTAAGACAAAAGTTCATCGTCTAAAGAGAAGTATGCCTCCCTCAAGAATCATTGATTGCAGGGGCCACCTGAATCAGGGGTTAGGGGATGAGTGAAACATTTGATTTGGCCAAGAAACTGTAGTGGGAGATGCAAATATGGGTGTTGAGATTTGTTGATGAGTCCCTGGACTCGGGCGTTTGAAAAGTGTTCTCCAGGTGCTAATGGGAGGCAATTTTATCCCAGTCATGTAGTGTCGGAATGGGATGAGTTGTTAATGGCAAAAACCGAGCCCTTGAAGCAAAAGATCTAAGGATGTGTCATCCATCACATTGAAACTACAGTTGAAAACCCTATGCCTGTTGCAACATCCTCTTGATGATCAACTATTTCAAGCAAGATTGCTTCCTTTGTGCTCATTTAATGCCTGTTACTTCTTTTTCTCTTTCTTTCCTTTTTTCCAAGAGGATGGTGTAAATTTCAATATGTTCAACGTTTCAGTTGATATCCTGTCATGCTGCATATGCACAAGGTTGCACTATACAAGTGCGCTTATCTTCAAGGCGCCTCACATTGTTGCCATTAATAAAGATACTCTGACTGCAGTATACTCCCCTTCTCTATATGCCTTCTACTTTATCTTGCTGGGAACAAGTTCAAGAGGCATATGACGTTGGTGCATCTTTTGATCCTTACTTTAGATTCCACTAAACTGTATTTTCAGATTCCTTAAGAAAAAAGCTATGACTTTAATGAAATATTGTAAGGTGATGGTACTCTATGAAGTCATCTTCGCTTTCTTTGTTGCTTTGGAATAGGTGAAATCTCAAGCATAAACTAACAAGGGGTGTGAATGATTTAGAGGGTGAAAATGAAAATGTTCTGCAACATATTAGGAAATCGGAACCAACAAATACACTAAATTGTTGCCACCAATTGCTTCTCAGGAATGAACATATATCACAGTAGTTAGTGTTAAGGGGTTTGATTTCCATTAGTGGTGCCCATTGCTGCAGATCAAGCCCAGTCAGTAAAAACAATTAGGTAAAGTTAAAGTTAAAAAAACGAATGCTTAGAGTTTGTAATGGAAGAAAGAACCAATTAGGTCCCAATGTCTAAAAACAGGTCCAAAATACACATATAGCAGCATTTCATTTTGGTATTTTTCGGGACTAAACAGTTTTTCCAACAGAACCCAAAATGACACTCTTCTTTTCTTCTTATTGGGCTCAGACTCAGGCAGAAAGTGTGAATGTCTCTGGTGGAATGATGAGGAGAAGAAATATCAAAAGGCTGTCTCAGGATTCAGGGAATCCATGAGGAGGATCAATTAACAAAGGGAAATTCTAGATTAACAAAATCTGTGTACATTTTGAGGTGGTCCCACTCGAGTCAATAACGTTGTTGTCTGAATTCTAAAAGCCAAAAATATCCACCAAATTAACTCAATTTTGCCATTTTTCCTTGTGTGTGCCCACTCACACACACAAACAACTAACAGGCACTACAAAAAAGCAACACAAGAAAGACTCTCACATCACATTTTCACAAAGGCTTAAAGACAGTTTACAGAGCGATCAAAAAAACCAACACAACCGCCGCGAGTGGCGACGGTGACACCGCGGTTTTCCCCCTTCTGTGTGGCGGAGCAACCACCGCTTCCGCCAACCCTCCTCATTTCCCCCATTTTTATCTCTCTTCTTCTGAAACCAAACCTTTACGCAACCGACCCACATGCCCCTCCTCTCTATATAATCTATAAAGTATTGAAAACCCAATTTTAATTTTCTTTTTTTTTTTTTTTCCCTTATCCAAAGCGACAACCTTTTTGGTTTTCAGTTCGTTCGACAAATATCCCAGAACAACATATCTGATATCTTACAGAGACGGCTGCATTTGAGATCCTCTTGATATCTTACCATTCAATTTTCAAATCATTTGACGTCCTTCCCATCAGCCCATTTCAATATTTTTATGCTCTTCCCCTCTCACTTGACTGCTTCTGTATCTGTCTCTGTTTGTGAATGAGGGAATTTTCTTAATCGAATGAATCTCCTTTTCTGTATCTTACATTGAAAATTACAAACGCCCTTTTTTTTTGTGGCTCTATCCATCAGTTAATTGGGACCTTGAATTTCGGTTTGATCCTTGCCGATCTTCATCGGGATCGCTGTTTCTAATCATTTCATTAATTGACAGCTGCTGGCTTTGAATACTTAAATATCAACTGTCTGTATACATTGAAAGAAGAGATATAATCACTCGCACATAAACGCTGACTTCTGGGTTATATGCAACAAAGCTTGGTTTAGAAATCAAAAGCTTTGTGAAGGGATTCAGAATTCAGCTGATTAAATTTATACAGGTGTAAGCGGTAAAAAATGGTGGGAGGTGGAAACAGAAAGGCTGATTTAGTGATAAGCAATAACAACGTGTTTGCGGCATTGGGAACTCTTAGGAGGAAGAAGAAGGCTTCTGATAAGAAGAGTTCTGGTTCTTCTACCAACAGGCAGGATCAAAAGGAGCCAGCCCCCGAGCCTCAGGTGTACTGGGCTCCGGCCCCATTGACTGCCAAATCATGGGCTGATGTGGATGATGAAGATGACGATGATTATTACGCCACCACCGCCCCACCCCCCTCGGTTTGGGGGCCCGATACTCCTTCCCAGGACGCTTTGCCCTCTGATAAAGAAAATTCAACTCTGATTGAGGTCTGATATTGCTGTTTCTCAGCCCATGTTTCTAATGTTTCTTATTTAAGAAAATTGTGTGGGTAATTGATGAGTATCAGCAGTGTATTGTGGTGTGCTGCATTAGAATGTACTAATGAAATAGTTTTATGAATGAGTATTGTATTGCCTTTACTTGCTGTGTGGAACTGTTTTTGAGTTAATCAGTGCGTGTTTAAAGCTCTAAATTTTTGGGACTTTGCATGAAGGAATACAGAGAATGGGGGGAGTTGATGTTCTAACAGGATGTTAACATGCATGTTTCTGCATTTAGCTGGATTCATTATTTTGTTTTTCAGCTGTTTCTGTGGGGTTCTTTCTGCCATTCTGCTCAGTTTGCAGAGTTACTTTGCTAATCTAGAGCACCGACTTTACTTTAAGAAATAATGGTTCAGAGATGCATGCATTCAAAGGATATTTAGGCATGATTTTTCTGACTCTCAGCTATGGCAATTCTTGCCTTTGAGGTAGATATGTGGTTGGATTTCATTCATTTTGTTTATTTATACCAACCATATGTTGCTGCTTCGAACTGCTAGCAAATCAATGCACAAATGTTTATCTTGATGTTGTTTTTGTTCCCATGATTGCTTTTGGCAATTCTATCATGTGCTATTATTTTCGAATCCCTTGGAACCTTCTTATTGACTCAGTAATTGTAGCCTGTTTGCATTGTTGTGTATTGCAGACGTAATTTCTTTATTGGGCTTTACAGCATACTACTCAGATAAGATCTTCATGTGAAGATTCCTTTCTTGACTTAGGGTTATTCTTCTGGTTGCCGCATGTGTTTGTTCGCTTCTTATTTCCATAATAACTCATGCTTTGCCTCTCTGGGCCTAATAATGACAGCTAACGTCAAAAAAACCGTTGAAGAGAAAGATTTGATTGTCGGCTTGTGTACATTTTTGTTCAGTTTATGGATGGCATTCAATAGATTGAAGCTAGTAATGTATCATATCAACTTGTGTAGTAGCATGTACCAACACGTGTTTCGAAGTCTATAGTGGTCTACCTCATTGAGTGAGCACTTGGCTGTGATGCCTACGTTACGTGCTGGTATCGATTATATTCCCTTGCATGATGCCATGCAATATTTATCCCTTATGTGCATTTAGCAAGCTTTCCAGAATGCTCTGGTTCTTCCAGATTCTGCCGGTTTGTTCATCCTGTCGTATTTGAACCTTATTAATATTATGTCACAAGAACTACTTGTATGAGCACTGTATTGCGGTTTCATTTTGGTAAATCTTGTTCTGGTAAAATCATTTATGCTGCTAATTTGCTTAGGCATCATTTCACAAGGTGAACAGCTAAGGCAAGAGAGTGTTAAAATGAATCTGTTAATAGAGATTGGATCGCACAATTTCCCTGGGAATGAATGAAATTCATTAAACTTTGTCTGCGTATACCTATCTTATAAAGAAGAATTCCCTTGAAAGGAATATCTATAATTTATCGAAGGTAGTTATGCCTTGAAAAGGAATATTGTAAACTCTTCAAGCCTAATTTTGATTACTTAAATGCATCAGGAAAGCGAAAGTGAGGAAGATGGCCTTGACGATGTGGATGATGATAACGAGGAAGAACATGAGCATACACCTGACATAATAGTGCCAGAGAAAGATCCCATCGTTGAGAAGGCTCCTGAAGTTGTTGCCCCTAAGGAGTCTGAAAGGCAGTTATCTAAGAAGGAATTGAAGAAAAAGGAACTCGCTGAACTTGAAGAAATGCTTGCTGAATTTGGCTATAACAAGCCTGAAGGCCAAACTGCACCTCGAGGTAATTTCGATTCCTGTTATTTTGATTGTTTCTTAGCATCAAGGACCATGCCTATATATGCTCACCAATGCTTGAATGATAGATTGTAAAGAAACTGTTAGAATTTTGTCATGTTGGTTTATTCTGCTATCAAACTTCCATTGGTTAGATTATAACTGAACCCCCCGCTCTCTCTCTCTCTCTCACTCTCTCTCTCACACACACACACACACAGACATTCATCTGCTAAGGATTGTTTATACTTTCATGTTTTCTCCCGTCGACTATGTTTTGTTTTTGAGCTTTTTTGGCTTGCAGATTGGAGAGAGAAATTTCAGCACTTTACACCACTTTAAATTTACTTAGTTTTACGTTGAATAGAGTTTGTATTCTTTCCTTTCAGAAACTTCAGAAGGTAAGAAGGGATTGACTCCAAATGAGGAGGGTAAGAAGGAGAACAACATTGCTTCTGGGGAGAGCAAAAATGCAAAAAAGAAGAAAAAGAAGGACAAATCTTCAAAGGAGACTAAAGAACAGCAGGATCAGCCCTCTGGTGTTGAAGATGGAAATGGAGGTGATGCAAAACCGGGGTCCGAAAAAGCAGAAGATGGACCAGCTGTGGACATCAAAGACAAGATAAAAAAGGTTGCATCCATGAAGAAGAAAAAGTCTAGCAAGGAGATGGATGCTGCTGCCAGAGCTGCGGCAAGTGAGGCTGCAGGAAGGAACGCGAGGATAGCCGCAGCAAAGAAGAAGGAGAAGAATCACTACAACCAGCAGCCCATTCGGTGAATGATTTATGGAGTTCAAGATAAACTTTAGTAATCAATAAGCATCAAGAGTTTCATTGGATGGAGAGGGATATTCCGTTTTTCGGTTTTGAGGGAAATTGATCATAGAAACTAGGATAAACTATTTTCTCTAAACTGCTTCTTCCTTTTTTTATCCCCCTCCCTTTTCACCTGTCTGGTAGGTTTTGAGCAAAGGTTACATTAACATGGATGTTTTTACCTTACTTCAAACTTTCTGAAACTTACCATTCCGAATCGATAGTATATTATGGTAGTTTAACTTTGCAATAAATGCTACAAGTCTCTAAAGTGTTTTTAGTCTGTAGGCTGTAGCTCAGATACTGCATCATCAACGTCATTACCCAGAATTGGTAAAACCTTAACCCACAAATGGAGATCCAAAATGCTATCAAATATAATCAATCGGGTTGTGATGACTGATGACAGGATCCAATGAAAGTTATAAATAGAGGGGCCTAACCTCATCAAAATTTTGAAGGCATGAAGAACATGATTACATCCATTCTTCCCCAAATTTATTGTTACTGTTTGAACCTCCAAATCCAAATCCAGCGTTTGCTAACACAAAAGATGTACGGACTACGGATTTATTGGACCAAATCCAAGTTGTCCAAAGTCCATCAAGTATCATATCAAATTGATATTGACGGGTCAACTTTTATTGTATCTATGCTCAGTAATTGTGTAAACTCGAATATGTTCTCATCCCAGGTATCACACAATTATTGAGACGTACAAAAAAAAAAAAAAAAGAGAGCAGAAGAAAAGAGAGTAGAATTGTATTATTATTATTTTTTAAAAAATACAATTGTAGAAATCAAATAACAATATCACCTCATGGGCTCCAACGATCAATTCTTATACTATGGACCATGGTCCATATTCCTAAATGAACCATGCTAGTATTACACGCGCACTGGGAAGTGCAAAAAATAAGGGTGGAATTTTTTTTAATAAAATCTCAATCAAATCAACGCATAAAAATTTATCCATTTCGGATTTAAAAATGGAGATGAGATTGTCTATGATTCAAACTCCTTATATTTCTTAATAATCCATCTGAATTCAAAACTCTCTTATTTTCTCCACTAAAAAAATTAGCGATCTCATCGGCTGAAAAATTTTGAGTCGCAGCCGCTGAAGAATTTTGAGTTGCAGCCCTTAGCCACCAACCATTGGATAATTTTATGTATTTCGTCCCTTGCTTGGGCCATCTCATATTCGCATGTGTAATTTAGAGTATGTACACTTGAAGCTTTGTTTACATTCGATACCTTCAATTCATCATAAATAAGCTCTGTTGTTGTTGTTTTCTTTCTTATATTAATTGATGTCTTTTCAAAATTTCTTCTATTAATTATGATGTTGCTGAAAACTTGACGAACAATGTATCTTTTTGTTTGTGTATTTAAAATATAATAACAAATTCTATGAAACCTATTTCATGGCAATTACCGACTTCATGGCACCGGTTTTCGTTAGTAATGGGAAAAATAGGTTTGATTCCATTAACAAATTTCACAGTAAATTTCATTTTCATTGTTATTGTATGTAAAAGTTTACAGTTTATTTTGTTTTCGAGCATATGTTTACACGATATACAAATAATGTTCATACCCATAAACTTAAAAGTTCATTTGTTTGATTTTTAAGGTAATATGAAAAAGAAAGACCATAAGTAGTGGTTTATTAGATAAAGTACCATATTCTAATAGTTCATAAATAAAATATGCTATTTTTTCTTCATACACAATTTTTTCTTATTTTCTTTAGTCTAATGTTAAACTTAATGATATATTTGTTCACATGTATATAAGCTATTCGGGAGCTTTATGTATGTAAAAGGTCAAGATCATATAAGATTGAACTTCACTGATTACATACGATCGAAGAAAATCCGGGAGACATGGAAACGCTTGGAGTTGAAGGGGTGGGGCATGGCTTGGCAGAGAATGAGCACGTGAAGAGCACTTCAATCTAACCAAGATATAGCGGTGTCGGTATTGTTTCATGTATGCAAAATAAATTCCTAAGAAATATGCTATTAATTTCTTTTTTTTTCCTTTTATGATTCATGTATGCAAAGTAAATAGTTTATACACTTCTCTTCATTGGTTCATACATATAAAATAAATAGTTTATACACTTTACTCGTAGTATTCATACGAGTCTATGCCATACATCATTGTGCTTTGAAATTCATGGTATTAATATTGTTTCATATATAAATATATATGCTATTAATTTTGTTTTCTTCTTAGATTCATATCTATAAAGTAAAAAGTTTATACACTTTTCTTTGTTGGTTCATGCATAAAATAAATAGTATAACAGTATGAACACGAAGAACTTAATTTATGAATTATATCACATAATTGTATGAACATGATCAATGATAATATAAACCTGAGGAATGACGGTTATTAAGCAATAAGACTTTAAATAAATAGTTTATCTTTTTTTAAATTGTTTCATCAAAATTTTATTTTCATGATATAATTGTTGAAATTCAGTTAACCACAAAATGAACAGTGATTTAAAGTTTAAATTGATTATGTGAAAAGAGAATAATTAAAATTAAGAGATAAGATTACCCTAAGATTTAAGATCATTATAAAGAAAATAGTAAAATTCCACTTGCTTTTTTGGAGAGTGAGCAACACCTCCCTTTTTGGCTCACATTGTAAAATGGACCATGGTCCATGATATAATTTGCATTCCAACGATGTTTTTATAGACGTGGACTGACCAAAAACAACAAACCAACAAAAATAGAATGTAACATGAAAGGAATGAAAGAACACTAAGACCTTCCCCAAGCAAGCCCGACGGCTTCACTGTTCCTGGCACTAAATTTGATGACTTACTGCTGTTCACGAGCACCAATTTGGTGCTTAAATTTTTTTATTTTTTATTTTTTCACTTTTAGTTAATTTGTGTAATTTATTAAACGGTTCCTTTAAATTAACTAATGTATAATTTATGATTATTGTGTATTATTGTAAAGTTATTAAATGTATAAGTCTAAATTTCATAGATTTAATTAATCTCAACTTAATATTTAACTTATAACATAACATTACAAAAAAAAAATACATAACATAAATAAAAATGTATATTTGATACAAGGAAAAAGAATAGACTCATAAAATAAACACAATAAATTTCAGATAATTAACAAAACACTGATACATTGATATTAATAATTAGAAATAATTAGAAACACTCATGCATTGATATTTGAGATAGTTTGTGTGTTTTCATTTGTATAAGAAAATATTATTTTAATTATTAGTTTGATGAAATATGATTTCTCAAATTTACTTTATTATACTTTTTTGTGTAATGTACATACACATATTTTGACAATGTTCAAAATGTGAACAAAAATATATTATCTCTTTGTGATTTAATAAATTTAATAAAAAAAATGAAGAATAAAGGAGAATTAGTGATTTGGCCATGGAATTTGTGCTGATAGTTAGATTTCAAAGTACTGTAACAGTCACTAAAATACCAAATTGGTGATGTGGTATGCACAAAATTGGTGTTATCCTTGGGATGCGCTAAGAAATCACAACTGGTTTTGTAAACTGGACCTGTGATACTTTTGATTTTTTAAGATTTTCGTGCTCATTCTCAATTGAATTTTGGTAGCCGTACAAAATATAAGTTTCTAGTTTTCGTTAGATTGTAAAAAGCTCTCATTTCGACTAGTTGAACTTGAAAGCCACATGTCCCAGGGGAACATCTACAGTTGTGACGCCGATGGATTTTCTGGGCTAGTACCAGCTGGTTTCTTGGGCGGTATGTCCGTTTCATTGCCCGCTTCTCTGGGCTTAAGCAACTTGAAAGCCACATAATGTCCCTTTCATAGAGTAAACTACTCAAAATGAATTTTTATATTTAGCAAAAAATTTAATTTAATTCATAACATAAGCACTTGACTGGTTTAGTTTGTTATATTTTATTTTTAACTAATTTGATTCATTTTACTTATTTTATTACTTTACATTTAGAGTTTTCAGTTTGAAAAATATTAGCTCAAGTCGAGTTTATTTGTTTTAAGAAATTAGTAAACATGATAAATTATTAAAATAATTTCAAATATATAATATTATTTAATTATGGGAGATGGATACTCAACAAGATTCCAGTTGGCATTAAAAAAAGATCATGAAGCTGAAAAACAGAGTCAGGAATGAATTTGAGGGGAGCAAATGGAAGCACACTTTCTCAGGTAAATATATGATAGCATCTGGTTACAAATGGTTAACTGGTAGTGGTGAGATTTTCCAACAAGAAAATTCATTTGGTCAAAATGCAATCTTGCTGATAATGTCTGTGCTCTATGTAAAGATAAAACTGAAACTGCAGATCATTTGTTTTTTGAGTGCCAATTTGCTGGTGAAGTGCTGAAGGAAATTGAAGGTTGGCTCGAACTGAAAGCTATACCGGTCAGACAGAGGACATGGAGGAAATGGATAATGAAAGTTTGGAGGAAAGCATATGTCAGGAGGCAAGTTCTTTATGCAATAATGGTTTCAACTATTTACCATATTTGGGAGGAGCGTAATGGGAGAACTTTCACTGACAAAATTAGGACTGCTAAGGAAGTAGTATTGCAGTTGAAACAAGAAGTCAAATGGCGTAAGGAAAACTGTGAGGAAATAGGCTATAATGTAGCAATATTTTCACTTTTGATTCAGTAAATATACTTAGTCAGGAGAGATAGGAATTTTGTCATAGTGAGCTGGTTGGTTTGTAAATATGACTCCCGTTTTGATCATCAATATATTTACAATTACCAAAAAAAAACAAATATTTAAAAATTCCAAGTATTTTTTATTCAAAAAATAAAAAAATTATTTTATTGAAAAAATTAAAAAGAATTTTACCCCTCTGCATTTTAAAATTTTTCTTAATCTCGGGTCCACTAATCCCTTCACAGGAAAAATCCAACATTTCAACAACTCCAAATTATTTTTAGAAAATGAAAAGATATAATTTCATTTAAAATTTAAAAAACATTAATTTGATCAAAAAATATTATTCTTATCCGTTAATCTGGAATAGTAGAAATTTATATTTTGACTGTAATTAAAACAAGAAAGAACATGAAAAATAGGCTGAGTTTAGTAAGGCCCGATAGTTAGAGAAATTTACAAACACAAATAATTAAAAAAATAAGATTTTTTATTTTTTGAATTTTTTGTGAACATTTTAAATAAAATATTATTCGAGTAAAATAATATTTTTACTCTCTAAGTTTTTTTT